AGGAAGGAAGGATGAGAGGGAGAGAGAGAGGGTTAGGGTTCTAACAAAAACCTAGAGCCTCTTCCGACGGTTTACAAGAAACAGGCAAGCAATACCCAGAATATTTAGATGGACAAAAAGAAGTGTCCCCATGAAGTACAGACTTGGACTGGGCTAAGGGAGGGACAGTAAATGTAGATGGACACAACCACAGAAGGCAGTGGGTACTAGAAGAGACGGAAGTCAGGCAGGACCCGTGGAAAACTCCTCAGGGATGTGGGGCGCACACACTCCACTGAGGAGAGCAGTTTCAGGGCCCCAGGGAGCCGGGATGAAGTGACCGAATGGGTAGCAGGGGTCCAAGGGGGCTCCGAGGGGCTCCGAGGCAGAAAGCAGAACTAAGGACCTTTCCGTGAAGCACCCCTTCCCAGGAGGAAACTCTAGCCCCACAATGCCTAGCCTCACAGGAAACCACGTGATGGAAAAAACACAAAACTCCTTCTGGGGAGAGAGTGAGAAGTGAGGTTGTGAGGTTTCCTCAGCTCAGGGACAGGGGGGGGGGCAGCATTTTCCAACCGCAAGGATGGGGCGGGAAGGAGAGCGGGGCTGAGCCCCGATCCTTCGCAACTCTGCCCAGAGGACACCACAGCTCAGGGTCCTTCAGAGGCTCCTACCCCCACCCAGGCCTCCTGGGCCACCCCATCCTACCTCAGGGACAAGCCAGGGCCCCCAAGCAAAGAGGGGCTCAGCTCCTTCCCTCAGGGACAGGATGAGGAAGTCTCCATGCAAATGTGGACTGACCACAGGCAGAGAGTTCACCATTGAGGGGACAAATGCAAATTTCCCAGAAGAGGCAGGGCAAAGGAAGACACAAGGAGTCCTGGGCCATGGCTTCCACACACCCTAGGGTTGGGGATGAAACTGAGCTTTCAGCCATCCAAAGGGCCTCTTGGAGTCAACCACAGACCCCTCTCAGAGGTGTATCAGCCATGGAGTGTTGCATGCTTCCCTGCACAGCAGCTCTCCCCACTCTGGCCTGTTCCCGACACCCGTCTTCCCCCACCACAGTGAACACACCAGCTACACCTCTGCCACGCTTCCCTAGTCCGTCTCCTCTAGAAAGCAGGTGCTGGCGTGGGACAGCAACAAGGGAAGACGGGGTAAAAAGAATGTGAGAGGCCAAAGCACCCTGAGTGTTGCAGGTAGGAGCGGGAAGGAGAGATGGCATGAGGCGCCCCTCTCTTTCTGTTCACCCCATCGGAAGAGGAAAGCCTTCAAGGACGTGTAGACCAGCTTCTCCATGTTGGCTGGAAAGGGATCTCTGAGGTGGACCACAGGGGCTTTTACAACAGTCTTTCAAGTTCTACTTTTTTTTTGTTTTAGTGGTTTTTTTTGTTTTTGTTTTTGTTTTCTGAGAGAGGGTTTCTCTGTGTAGCTTTGCACCTTTTCCTGGAACTCACTTGGTAGCCCGGGCTGGCCTTGAACTCACAGAGATCCGCCTGGCTCTGCCTCCTGAGTGCTGGGATTAAAGGCGTGCGCCACCACCGCACAGCCTTGTTTTAGTGTTTTAAGTCAGGGTTTCATGTAGCCCAGGCTGGCCTCAAAATTGCTATGTAGTTGAGGATGAACTCCAACTTCTGGTCTTCCTGCCTCTGCCTGGGATTGCAGGCAGACGCCACCACACCAGGTTTATGCAATGCAGGGAATCAAACCCAGGGCTTAATGCATGCTAGGCAAGCACTCTACCAACTGACCCACAGACCTCAGGCCTCCAGTTCTAAGTTTTAATCAGTGACTTGAACAAAAATATTGAGCTAAATTTGTAGGCACAAATCTCAAAAAAGACTAAAAATAGCCAGGCAGTGGTGGCGCACGCCTTTAATCCCAGCACTCGGGAGGCAGAGGCAGGAGGATCTTTGTGAGTTCAAGGCCAGCCTGGGCTACAGAGCAAGATCCAGGAAAGGTGCAAAGCTACGCAGAGAAACACTGTCCTGGGGGAAAAAAAAAAAAGACTAAAACCTGCTGGGAAGTAGCTCAGTGACAAAGCACCTGCTCGGCATGCACAAGGTCCTGGGTTCAAGCCCCAAAGAGAGTCTGGAGTGGGGGGCGCAGGGAGGGCAAGGTTCAGAATCATTTCAGCAGTAAATACACAAACAGAACAAGTCGGCATGACCCCAAAGTCCATGAGAACACCCTAGTGTCATCCCACTGCCCTTTGATAGGAGCTGCCGGTCACTGCCCTACAACTAAGATGTAAGTGTAACGAGGGACATCTATCCATGTGCCTTCTCCTTTCAGTGCTGTGGGGAGACCACATGAGAACAGCCAGCCCAGTTATGGGGGCGACCTCTTTGCAGCACTAGTGGGGGCTATCCTGGGTGCTTCCTGGAGCCAGGTAAGCCTGGGCCCTCTGCCCCCTCTATACCTGTGACCACACCAGTGACCTTCTTCATCCAAGCTCTGCAGCCCCATCCTCGCTGTGTTGCCGAGATGTGAGGCCCTGATCATGGCAATAACAGTGGATCCCCAGGACCTCACTAACACGGGGACCTAAGAGGCCCAGACTGTGTCGAGCTGGGGGAAGGCAACGGAGTTCCATGGAAGGAAGAGCTTTCTAGCAATGGGGCCAACCTGATGGGAAACACCAGCCGCAAGGAGTGGCCTCACTGTCACCCTTAGGACTAGGTTGCTAGGCAGCAGGAACCCTGTAGAAAGCAAGGAGAGCCCTTCTCTTGCTTCCTCGGGGGACAGGGGATGGGGTGGTTATGGGAGTCACCAGGAATAGAGGGAAGGGGCCCAGAGCACTGAGCTGGAACCGGGGTAGAAGAGCAGGGTGAGGGACGGACTGTGAGCAGGTCACCTGGGCTGGGTGCTCACCTCCTTTACCCTTATCTCAGGGGAGAAGGCCAGCCTGCAACACCCCTCACCTCTCGCTCGTGGGGTCCGAGCAGTTCAGTGGGTACTTGAGGTGGATGATGGTGCCGTCTCGGTCCTGAAGGATGCCCTGCTGATGAGTATAATACTCCACCAGCTCCGTCAGGGTCGCAAACTTCTCCCCTCCGTACAGGTCATAGAAGTCCCCCGAGTTCTGGATCCGAATGTGGGTCACCTGGTCATCCACCCTGCAAGGCACCAGGGAGTGAGGCCCCGGGTACAGGAGCAGAAGTAGGGTGGGCGAGGGGACAGGCTGAGGGGCCCGAATGCAGAAGCACACAGGAATGGGGTGGACACAGAGCGATATGGGGACCGTAACGATACAGGCATGGGACACAAGGGGAGCAATGCAACATGAGGCGGCGACACAACCCAGGGGACCCAGGCATGCTCAGGACCCACACAAGGAGCTGCCAAGTCGCGGGAGAGCCACCTACCTGACTGAGAGGGAGAAATCACCCCGGTTCTTGCGACTGGGCCGAGCCAGGAAGCTCCCAGGGACTCCCCGGCCCTTGAGCAGGGTCTCCGCATCAGGCCCACTGAGGTCCCGGTGAAACCACCTGGAGGGGCACAGGGTGGTAAAGTGACGTCCCCCGGGCACCAGACCACCCTTCCTTCCTACCTCCCATGGTCCCCAGGCCCTTACCTCACCATCCTGGGGCTCTTGCTGAATTGGCTGCTGAGAATGTGGAGGGCACAGCCTGTCTGGACAGGTGGAAACCTCTCGGGCTGAGCCTCCAGCAAGGCTCTCAGAGCCCAAGCCTCCAACAAAACCCCAACCTGCTGCCCCGCTCCCGGGCTACCACTCTACTGGCCTGGGGCAGCCAGGAGGGCGGAGACAGGAAGGGGCGCGGCCGACCCCTTGGGGGAACTCACTTGTACTTCTCTTTTCAGAGCAAGGGAAGAGAAGCAGAAGGGTGGCAGGGTGGGGGAGGGCCCACTTCCCACAGTCTGCCATCAAAGGCAGGAGTGTGGCCCTGAACATTCATGACTCAAGAGATAAGGACACGTGTGCGCGGCCCTCCGCCCCTCCAGGCCAACATTCACACGTGTGAATGCTCATGGTCACCAGGTCGGCTCTTCCTCCTCCCCCAGATGCCTCCACTCAGCATTCTTTGGCACAATCTAATAATGATGGTGCACCCGGACACTGTCATTTAATGGAGTGTTGCCACATGCCAGACTCATTGCTACAATGTCATTTACATGCCTCCTGTGGGCTATACCTCACCACAGCCTCATTGCACAGGCTCTATCTTTAAACCCACTTTACAGACAAGGAAACTGAGGCTAAGAAGTTTGAGGAACTGCCCCAGGCCTTGAACTTAGAAAATTGCATGATTCAGACCTAAATAGTTTAGTTTCAAAACCAATGATTTTTAAATACTGCCTGCCAGCCCTCGGGACCCAAAGAACAGTGGCCAATAGACTCCTAGTCCACTGTCACTCCAGAGAGTCCCTACAAGACAACCTCACACAGCATTGTCAATTGTGGGCCTTTTCTACTTGTGGACTCTGATCAGGTGTGTGTGTGTGTGTGTGTGTGTGTGTGTGTGTGTCTCGGAGGCTAGGGTGGTGGCCAAGGTTCCAACAATGGCAGATGCTCTCACAGGGATAGTTGTTTTTAGGAACTCTCAGCTCAAAGGCTTATGATGGTGTGTGTAATTCTCAATATAAATTTAAAAAAAAAAAAGTGCAAACACTAACAAGCCAAGACCAGAGGAAATACAATCCACCCAACAAAAGATTCAAGTAACTCCTACTGATGTTTTCCTTCAGGTGGAACGCAGGCTGCTGGGGAACAGAGCTGGGACAGAGGCCCTTATATCCTTTAGGGGGAGTTATTTGTGGTGTTTTGATTGGTTAGTTTTGGTATTTTTGCCACACTGGAATTAGAACCCAGGCCCTAGCCATGCATGGTGGTGCACCCCTTTAATCTTAGTACTTGGGAGGCAGAGGCAGACGGATCTCTGTGAGTTTGAGGCCAGCCTGGTCTACAGCGTGAGTTCCAGGGCAGCCAGTGCTATATAGTGAGACCCTATTTCAAAAAAAAAGAACCAATCCCTGAGGCAACTCCTCCAGCCCATTTCTTCTTATTCATTGATTCATTTTTACATTTCTGCAGTCCTAGGAATGGAACCTAGGACCTCAAACATGCTAGGCAAATGCTCCATCACTGAGCTGCATCCCCAGTTCTCTTTTTATCTTTTATTTTGAGACAGGGTATCGCTAAGTTGCCCAGGCTAATCTGGAACTCACTCTGTAGCCTTGAACTTACAATCCTCCTGCCTCAGCCTCTCGAGTAGCGGGGAGTATTGGCATCACCACCACATCTGGCTCCCTTGCACTTTTTCCAAAACTGTATGATGCTTGAGATGGAGCTCAGCGGTAGCACACATAAGGTCCTGGGTTCCATTTCTGCACCAGACCCAGTAAAGTCATGAATAAGTATAGAGTTTGTTGTGTGCTTAGTATTTATTCATAGTATATATGCTACGTTTCAAAAAATAGGAAAAATAAAAGTATGAAAGCCAACAAGGGCTGGAGTGCGGCTCTGAGTAAAGCGCTCGCTCTGCATGTAGGAAGCCCTGGGTTCCACAGTCTTGCTAGGTGCCGTGGCACACACCATTAATTCCAGCACTTGGGAGACAGAGGCAAGAGGTAAGGACAAGTTTGAAGCCAGCCTGGGCTTCATAAAGACTTGAGGCCAGCCAGGGCTACATAGCATGACCCTATTTAGGGAAAAAAAAAAAAAAATTAACCCTCTACAGCAAGTCTTTTACCATTCTTGGGAAGATGAAGTATCTCCTACCCTACCTCTCCCCTCCCCTTTTCTTCTTGCTGATAGCACTGGGAATTTACACTATGAAAGATCTGGACCCACCATGGACTCAGCTCACCCCCGGGGTCAGGGAGACCACATGCAAAGTTGGTCCAGCACAGGCAACCATCCCATCCTAACCATCAGAGTCCAACCCAGAGAAGTATCCAGTGAGAAAACTCATGGATACGTGTGCACAGACATGGTTACATGTATGCTTCCTGGTCTGCCCCTGCATGCGGATGAGTAAGCATTACACAGACATACGCAAGCAGACCGTGTACAGAAACACAACTTACATGCACCCCATCATCTGTGTCCATCAGATACAGACCTTGCTGGGGGCAGATCCCCAACACAACAAGGACACAGGAAGTCCCAGGAACCTGCTTAGCGCCACACCAACTGCAACCAAGTCTAGGACTCTTCATTCCAGAGTTAAGCCCACTTGGTGTGAAGGAGCTTACTAGACACCTAATACTCCTGATCCTTTAAGTGTATCTGAAGAATGTCAAGCCAGAAAACAAGACACTCCAATAATATGGATCACCCCTGTTATACTCTGGCAGGAAAATCATCGCAATCCCCCAAGAAGCAAGGCCCAGGGCCCTGGAGTTGGAAGAGCATTAGGACAACATACACAATCATCCCATTTGAGCCCTTGACCACCTAGCATGTAGGGATTTTGTCTTTGTTTTAAGGAGGAGGCTCTGGTATCTAGAAGAAAAAGAACTTCCTCTGGGAAGTAAGGGATGAAAGAAGACATCACGATCAATGGTGATGCAAGAAGACAGGCCCTGGGAACAAAAGACAAGACACAGCGAGATCTTACGTAGCTACTGGACATCTCTGAGCCTTGGTATTCTGACCTAATAAATGAGCTCAACAAGATTTCCTAAATTGAGACCTAAAAAGCGAATAAAGCAACCAGGTGTGGTGGCTGATGCCTAAAACCCCAGCATTCAGGAGGCTAAAGCCTGGGACAAAAGGTCAAGGGTGAAGGCACATGCCGGCCCTTGGGTGGTCATCCTGACCTATGTAACTCACTGCTAAGTGGTATGGTTTCATGTCCTCATCATCAGCATTAACATTTTACAGTGGACTCTGTCTTCTGATTTTGCATCTGTGGAGTCAGCCAACTATAGAGAAAAAAGTGTGCTTCTCCTGGACAGGCACAGACCTTTTTCCCTCGCCATAGTTTCCTCAATAACACAGTATAATGATTTGCATAGCATTTACATTGTACTGGGTAAATACTCGGAGAGCATTTAAAATATGCATTTGTACATGTGTAGTTTACATGCAAATACATCTGTACAGTTTGGTATCTTCCGGTCGCCCTGGAATCAATCCCCTATGGACACTGGCAGGTGACTATTTTATTCTAGTCTACTCTGTTTTATTCGTTTATTTACTTATTGTGAAAAGGGTCAAACTCGGGTTTTTATGCTTGGCAAGTATTCTACCACTGACCAAAACCCTATTCTCTGTTTTTATTATTTCTTTCCTAGACAGGATCTTACTCTGTGGTTCAGGCTAGCCTCAAACTTGAGCTCCTCCTACCTCAGCTCCCTAGTGTGGTCATACACCACTGTACCCGGCTGAGACATTGTATTATTGTTAATTTTCACAACAACACTGTTTGCTTGTTACTATCCCAATTATAGAAACAAAAAAAAAAACGAAAACTCAGACAATTTTGGTAACTTGCCCAGAGTCACAGGCTTTATGTGAGTGATGAGTGGGAAGGTGAAAAAAACCAAAGCTGTCTGTGGCCAGAGATGTGTCTGCCACAGCCCTGCTCCGGCAACCTTAAAGCATGCTGGGAGGTGGAAGGAGCACGTAATCCCCACAGGCAGATGGACCAGGACACAGAAGCGGCATGCATAACATGCACTTGGGTTGCTCAGTGGAAGCCAATCAATGCAGCTGAGCTGAAGTGTTCAGGGGGCTGGACCCCAGCGTCAGGGCTCTCACAAGTCCAGGCTGAAGAATCAAGAAAAAGTTCTGTCCTGGGAGATGCCTTGCCAAGCCACGTGGGAAGACTCAGTGCCACCCTCGGCTGGCGGTGACAAGGCTTGCCCTGGAGGAAGAGTGCAAGCAGAAAGCTCACAGGAGTGTGAAAAGCAAAAGTCAGTAGGGCTCGGGCACAAACAACCCACAAGGTCACCAGCACTCTCCGAATGGGTTTTCACTTGCGCTACCCAAGCCTAGGCTGCCCACGGGTCCCCTCAGGAGTGGACACTTCCTATTCTGGCTGCCTCTCTCTCATCAAATGTCACCTCACCAGGAAGCCCTCCCTGATGCCTTCAGCTAGCTATGTCTCCAGGATACATTACCTGCTAGCCCCTGACACTGTTTCTTTTCCCGGGTGTTAACATTTCAACGGAAACAATCCTGGCTATTATTATTATTTATTCATTCGGTCATCTCTGGCTGGAATGCCAGCTCTCTAAACAGAGATCACGTCTGCCTCATACGGGCTCATATACCAACATCTTAAGCGGTACCTGCCCACCATGGATGCTCACCATTCATCTTAGTTTGCTCTTTTTGGGGGGCAGCGAAGAGACACGACAGAACCGAGGTTCAGAAGTAAGGGGGAGCCTGCCTGGGAGTGGGAGAGCTTTCTCCAATGTGCCTTCAGACCGGCATGTCTGAGGTAATGAGAACCACCCAGTGAGGACAGGTCCCAGACAGGAGGCCGAAGCAGAGGACTACAGGCCAGAGGTCAAAAATGAGAAAAGATAAACATCTGGGCTTGGGGCGAAGAAAAAGGAGGCAGAGGGATACGAACGAGCCTGGGAGTCCTGAATCTTGTGGGAAGGAGAGAGTTCACAGGGACAGGAAGCTGACCCTGGGCAGGGGGGGGTGGTGGGTGTGACAGACTATTTATGGCAGCATGCTTGTTGAAGAGTGTGAACGATGATGCCTGGCGGCCCAGACTAACAAGAGTCCAGGACGCGGGTGGCACAGGGTACTTACCCGCGGGACAGCATCTCCCCAGGAGGGGGGGGGGGGTCAGCGGCCAAGGGCGCCGGGGGCGGGGCCGAGCGAGCGGCCCAGCTGTTCAGGGATCCAGACCAGACCTTCAGGAAGAGAGTGTTCTTCTGCTTCTCAGCCGCTTCCTCCTCTCTCCAGTCTGTCAAACCTAGGGCACTTTGAGGACAAGCCCCTGGCCTGCAGGTCGCCGAGGGAAGGACAGGTGGGGCGGGGCTGGCCGAGACCGCCCACCTCGATCCGATCGCCCCCGAGGCCCGAGGCCGTGCAGCAGGCTCCAGTGCAGCAGGCTCCAGGCCGGCCAGGGCCTGCTTCTCTGGGAAGGGGAGGAGCCACCTGCTGCTCCACCTGAAGCTCCCACTACCGAGCCGCAGGAGGGCGGGCAGGGGCAAGGACCAGGAAGTAACCCCGGCCAGGGGACCGCCCCCAGCACAGCACCTCTGCGACCCGGGAAAGCAGAGAGACCATTGAAGCCCTCGGCTCAAAGCACGGCCTTTGTGAACAGCCCTCCCAGGATGCCGAGAGCCCATTTAGCCTCCCACCCCCTGGGAAGCCAGGGGCTCTTGAGAACGGGCTTGGTCCCCCCAAGGAGGACAGGAAGGACCTCGGAAGGGGAAGGCCAGAGGCGGTCGGGTAGCCACAAGTGGGGTTAGCCAGGACTACAAATGGATGACACCAAGGTTTAGTCACAAGCGCATTTATTATTCTCTGGAACGCAAGGTCTTCTTCCCTAGCCGTGGCACACAGACAAGAACACATCTCAGGAGGCGGCCACGCTGCTCCCGGAAGCAGGCCCGTGGGGCGGCAGTGTCATAGGCGGCAGGAACAGCGCCTTGAGCTTGCCGGACAGGCTGGCAATCTCAGGATCCTGGGCTTCGTAAGACTTGACCAGGCGGGCAAACTTGAGGACACCTGGAAGAGGCAGCAAGGACCCCTGCTGGAGGCCGGTGCGCCCAGGCCGGGGAGGGGGCCTTGCGGTAGGAGGCACCGGACACAGGCTGATCTCCTCTGACCCGGGCAGCCACTTCATAAGAGGACAGACAGGTCACGCTGCTGTCCTGCACCGCTTCAAACCCCACCCCCACCCCCAGCTTTCACTAGGCACCACTGGGTACCATACGAAAGAGTCCTTAAAGGACCCAGGCACGGCGGCGCACACCTGTAAGCCCAGCACTTGAAAGGCCGAGGCAGGTGGATCTCTGAGTTCGAGGCCAACTTGGTCTACAAAGCAAGGTCCAGGACAGCCGGGGCTACACAGAAAAAAAAGAAAAAAAAGAAAAAGCCCTAAGGCAGAACGTTTTTCACTCTCGGGTGAACCATGTCCGCTGTTTTACCTCAAGCAGCCTAAATAGGAATGAGAACCCGGGTCTGCAGGTAGTCCCCGCTGGCTAGGCCAAATCAGTGAACACATGTCCTTGGGAAGAGCGAGCTCAATCCCCCAACACCAGACCTATTAACCAAAACGCCTTGCAGGAAGTGCCGAAGGCCGCTGTTCAGATCAGAGCTGGGCCTGGTGACTCACGCCTACTCCATACCACCCAATCAGAAGGCTGGGAAAGGAGGATCTTTGGTTCAAGGCCAGCCTGGGCACCTTAGTGAGACCCTGACCCAAAGAGAGCTCAGTGGTGGAGAGCTTCCCTAACATAAGGCCTTGGGTTCGGGGGGGGGGGTGCTGGGGGGCGGGGAGCGAGCTCAGGCTAGGCCCTGAGCTCTGAGCGCCAATGTTTGATGTGACTGCCGCCCTGTGGCGAGAAACAGACGGACTCGGGGGCCGCTGATCACGAGCCCCACCCCCACCCCATGG